TATTGATCAGGAGCTTTTATCAATGGCTAATTTTGAAGAATATGTTCCCCTGGATTCTGACATGGTCCATGCTACAAGACCTGGTGCTCTCTTTGCTAAAGCCAATCAACGAATGGTGCTAGATGCTGTGACATTAAACAACTTGGAGATTTTTCTGAATGGAACAAATGGTTCTACTGAAGGGACCTTGTTAGAGAAGATTGATACTTGCCATACTCCCTTTGGCAAACGGCTCTTAAAGCAGTGGCTTTGCGCCCCACTCTGTAACCCTCATGCTATCAATGATCGCCTGGATGCCATAGAAGACCTAATGGTTGTGCCTGACAAAATCTCTGAGGTTGTAGACCTTCTTAAGAAGCTTCCAGACCTTGAGAGACTACTGAGTAAAATTCATAATGTTGGGTCTCCCCTCAAGAGCCAGAACCACCCAGATAGCAGGGCTATAATGTATGAGGAAACCACATACAGCAAAAAAAAGATTATTGATTTTCTTTCTGCTCTGGAAGGATTCAAAGTAATATGTAAAATTATAGGGCTTATGGAAGAAGTCATTGATGACTTTAAGTCTAAAATCCTCAAGCAGGTCCTTACTCTGCAGACAAAAAATCCTGAAGGGCGCTTTCCTGATTTGACTTCAGAGCTGAACCGATGGGATACAGCCTTTGACCATGAGAAGGCTCGAAAGACTGGGCTGATTACTCCCAAAGCAGGATTTGACTCTGATTATGACCAAGCTCTTGCTGACATAAGAGAAAATGAACAGAGCCTCCTGGAATACTTGGAGAAACAGCGCAGTCGAATTGGCTGTAGAACCATAGTTTACTGGGGAATTGGTAGGAATCGTTACCAGTTGGAAATTCCAGAGAATTTCATCACCCGTAATTTGCCAGAAGAATATGAGTTGAAATCCACCAAAAAGGGCTGTAAACGATACTGGACCAAAACAATTGAGAAGAAGTTGGCTAATCTGATAAATGCTGAAGAACGGAGAGATGCATCATTAAAGGACTGCATGAGGCGACTGTTCTATAACTTTGATAAAAATTATAAGGACTGGCAGGCTGCTGTGGAGTGCATCTCAGTGTTGGGTAAGGCTTTCAACAGGTTTATTCCTCAAGCTTTAGTTAGTGATGCCCTGTGTGCCAGTTTTATATTGAAATTACAGCCCACTGGAAAGTCCCCATTGACTCAACCCTAAACTCAAGTAACGGGTATATATTTTGATCAAATTTCAGTTGAATTTATATTTATAGTATTTGATAAATGTTGCTTTTAAGCTATTTTTGAAAGGTGCATAGGACATTATGTTTCCATTGCACTTTATTTTTTTATTTATTTATTTTTTCCATTGCACTTTAAAAACATTTGGCTGCTCCAGGTCTTAGTTGTGGCACTTGTGATTGTTGTTGCAGCATGCAGGCTCTAGCTCCCTGACCAAGGATGGAAGTTGTGCCCCTGGCATTGGGAGCACGGAGCCTTAACCACTGAACCACCAGGTTCAGTGAAGTCCCAAGCTACTTAGGTTAATTTAAAGCTATCCCTTGACCTCTGTTTGTTTTACACTCTACACATGTATTGAAAAGATTTTAATCTTTCCTTTTTCTCTTAGCCCAAGTTATCACACTTTGTCTTCTGGGTTTATTTCTAAGAGCCCTGGTTTTGTATTTGTAATTAGGTAACCTCTTTAAAGGAAAAGGCATGGCCAACTTATTTTGAAGCCTTTGCTTGTTTTAGAGTTTTGAAGTTTTCCTTTTTTTTTTTTTTTTTTACAGTTTTGAGGGTTTTTTCCTGTGTTTTGACAATTTCTACTTTGAGGGGATAGATTTCTTAATGAAGTGCTGTAAGGAAGACATGTAAAACATTTAGGCTGATGACTCATTTCCAGCTAATGAATCCATTAACAAAGCATTTTATATACTGTGCAGTTAGAACAATGTCACTAGAGTGCCTGCTTACAGAAAAAAACCTGCCATGTCTAAAGTGGAACATGTTAACCTCTACTAAAGCATTTCTGAAAGACTTGTATAGAAGTTGGGCCTTTGTTGCTTATCAAAAATGATGAAGCCTCACTTTTGTCCTCTGTTTACCAGATGTTTTATTGTGCCTGACTAACTACAGTCGAGGGGGTGATGGTCCAATGTGTCGTCCAATAATTCTGTTGCCAGAAGAAGATACTCCTCCCTTTCTAGACCTTAAAGGATCACGCCATCCCTGCATTACGAAGACTTTTTTTGGTGATGACTTTATTCCTAATGACATTCTAATAGGCTGTGAGGAAGAGGAGGAGGAAAATGGCAAAGCTTATTGTGTGCTTGTTACTGGACCAAATATGGGAGGCAAGTCTACACTCATGAGACAGGTAAAGTATTATAAATGGTGGTGTTACAAAACTTTGAGTGAATTTATTACACATTTAAGCCACTGTTTCCTAAAAAGCTCATGATAGTCACTGACTTACTGATAAGCAAAGGAAAACTCCTTGAGTCATGAACTGTGTTCATTTCATTAATCAAATATTTGCCTGATGTTAAAGGAAATACTTAAGAAGGTGAAGTTGGTTCAGGCCATGACTTTTATGAGCTCTGCATCCATTTCCTTTGAAGGTTAGATGTATTCATAATGAATGAAAATTATACAAATGTACATTTGTTCTTAAATTAGGTTCATTTCTAGGAAGCCTTAGAACCACTGCACTTGTTCATACAGGAAAGCAAATGTAATTCATGACCTTTAGTTAACTGTTGGGAACTGCTTTTAGGGAAGACAGTAAATATATTTTCCTAACCTTTTGTCAGGGGTTGGCAAGTCACTGAGCTAAACATGATTTAGATTTGTAAAGGGTTTAGAAAAAATGTCACAGAGACACTGGGCCCTTGACAAAAAATGTTTGCTGACCCTCTTATTCTACTGTACTGTATTATATACTTTGTACAAATTTACTGACTGGAGAGGAGCAATAGTGTAGTGATATGGTTTTTAACCTTTTCATTTTAAATCAAAATCATCTAGAGAGCACAACAAAAAAAGTACCTGGGAGTTGGGGTGTATTCATCCTCTGAAATTGTTTGGTTTGCAGTTGGTTCTAGGCATCAATAGTTTAAATCCTACTGTTCAGCCAGAGTTGAGAAGCAATAGTGTAGTGGGTTAGTGTATATGTTCTGATGTTTTAAAGCCAGCAGGCCCTCAGCCTCACTTTTCCTACGATTGTGAAGATTGTTTTTTTAAGAGTGCCTGACTTCTCAGTTGAGTTCAGTTCAGTTGCACAGTTGTGTCTGACTCTTTGCGACCCCATGAATCGCAGCATGCCAGGCCTCCCTGTCCATCACCAACTCCTGGAGCTTACTCAAACTCATGTCCATCAAGTCAGTGATGCCATCCAGCCATCTCATCCTCTGTCGTCCCCTTCTCCTCCTGCCCCCTCCCAGCCTGACTTCTAGTTAATGATCTGTTCTGTTAATATCAGTCATAAAATAACTTTTTCCTCCCTCATTCACAGGCTGGCCTATTAGCTGTAATGGCCCAGGTGGGCTGTTACGTACCAGCTGAAGTGTGTAGGCTCACACCAATTGATAGAGTGTTTACTAGACTTGGTGCCTCAGACAGAATAATGTCAGGTGAGTTATTTTTCTACCTAAGGCTCTGTTATTTGACAATTCATTATGCAAGTTTTAACATACTAGAAGTAATCTAGTAAAATTTAATCTTTAGTACCACTGGGTAGTTCATAACAGATTCAAATGATACGAACCTAAAAGATGTTTCTGCTGTTAAAAGAGGATTCTCATTTTGATCACTTTTTTTTTTAAAAGGTGAAAGTACATTTTTTGTTGAATTGAGTGAAACTGCCAGTATACTTACACATGCAACAGCACATTCTCTGGTGCTTGTGGATGAATTAGGTAAGACATTAAAATTTCTAAAACATTAGTACAAAGAATTATTTTTCTGGAAAATGGTCTGAAGGACACATTTCTTAAAGAAAAAGAATATGAATATACCCACCTTTGTCCATAGACCCCACAGTTGGCACTAGGTGGCAATTTCTAAATCCTGTTCGAATTTAAATTGTAATACAGGGATAACTGGATAATAAGGCTATTTAAAAGGAAGTTTCTGAAGCATAGTGGCACTTGAATAATATTCCTGAACTCCAAGGGCTGATAAGCAGGCCTGCTTTAGCTAGAGAGGGCCTGTTTACAGAGTGCTTTTGGATGTACTAAGCTGATATTCAGTACATTTTTTAAAAATTCTGAGGCCTGTCCTTCTTGGAATATAATAGGGCAGACTGTATAATATATAGTTTATGTATATTTTCATAGGAAGAGGTACTGCAACATTTGATGGGACAGCAATAGCAAATGCAGTTGTTAAAGAACTTGCTGAGAATATAAAGTGTCGTACGTTGTTTTCTACCCACTACCATTCATTAGTTGAAGATTATTCTCAAAATGTTGCAGTGCGCCTAGGACACATGGTATGTATAAATTGTTTATTCAAAAATTGTGTTGGTTTTTGAGTGGGTCCTTCCATTGCCAGCATGTAATTTTTCTTTTTTAGGCATGTATGGTAGAAAATGAGTGTGAAGATCCCAGCCAGGAGACTATTACCTTCCTCTATAAATTCATTAAGGGGGCCTGTCCTAAAAGCTATGGCTTTAATGCAGCCCGGCTTGCTAATCTTCCAGAGGAGGTTATTCAAAAGGGACATAGAAAAGCAAGAGAATTTGAGAAGATGACTCAGTCACTGCGATTATTTCGGTAACTATAATTGGATATAACTTTACAACGCAGTTTCAAAAGCAGTAAAGGGGTGGATGATGCACTGTGAAAAATGCAAACTAACTTTTTTTTTTTAAATTTTAAGGGAGGTTTGTCTGGCTAGTGAAAGGTCGACTGTGGATGCTGAAGCTGTCCATAAGTTGCTGACTTTGATTGAGGAATTATAGACTACATTGGAAGCTTTGAGTTCACTTTTGACAAAGGTGGTAAATTCAGACAACATTATGATCTAATAAACTTTATTTTTTAAAAATGACCATTTTTCCATTTTCTTTCTAGGAAATTAAACCCTTTTAATTCTTATCTACCTTCTACATAATGGTTATTGAATACTCCACAATATATTAAGTCTAGATGTTATGGTACATGCATACACTTTCAGGCTGTTTATACCCACTGTCACCAATACACATAAATGGGGGGGGGGCTATGAAACTGTATAGGGCTGTATATATACTTGTCTCAGCTTAATGCAGGAAATTGTTTTAATTTCCAGCAATTTGTCTAAACTGTTCAAAAAAAAACTATGAACAGAGTTCAAATACAGGACTGTTTTGAAGAGACTTTCTAAAGTGTACTTTTAAAACATAGTAGTTTTTACCTTTCACAAAACTGAGTTACAAGAATACTTTTGTTTTACAGTGCATCCCTTCCTAGGAAGTCTCATTAAAACACTCACTTTTTTCTAGGGGTGATTTTGAATGCTGCACAGGGAAGGGAAGGAAATAATAGTCTTAACTTTTCTTAAAGGATACCAGAAACATTGCTGGATATAATTTAAGATTAGTGTTTTCTCTTTCATAGAAAGAACGTACATACTGGGACATGAGTACAGTTACAGCAAGTCTAGGTGTGCTAACAAAACAGGGCACATTCAAGTACAATAAGATTTTGCTTGAAATTAAAAACAAACTACATGAGATTAAAGCATTAAAATCATATTTCTCAATCTGAATACATGTTAAAAAAAAATCAAAAGAAACGCAGAAGTGCTAGCTCACATTTTTACCATATTACAAAAGCAATTGGTACCCACGTCCATAAAGCAGCAACAAAGCTGCTCGTCTATTGAAGAGTACTACTGCAAGTTGGACTGCATTCAATGCTAGTTGTAAAAACACCAGCTTTTTTTCAGAAGTTGGTATCTGTACAAAATTGAAGCTTATTTTCTTCACTTCTGTCCCTTCAAAAGTCTTTACACAGTAATGCTAAAACACCCAGCTTTGAGATCCTGAGTCAATATATTGCCACTTTCTTTTTGGTAGCTTGAGCTTCATAGTGTCAACTGACCTTGTGTATTCATTTTTAATACAGTCTCTTCCTGTAGCATGGGCAAATATTTTAAATCTTCCAAAAAAAAAAAAAAACAAAACCCAAAACGCTTTAAGTTATGATGTTAGAATGGCAGGACTTTTTCTTTAGGGAAGGTATTCAGTTGTGCTGCAATGTATTAGATTCTATAGGTGGAGCAGAGTCATATAGTGTATCTGTATCATGTGTAGGCTCACCAGCTAATGTACAAGGATTAGACAGTGTTCCAGCACCACAGTCACAGAAAAACCTAAAACAAAATATGAAAACCCAAAGATTAGGGAAGTGAGGAGATGAAAATAATTGGGTAATACAACAAGCAAGTGTGCTACATACATACCTATCATGTCTAATAAATTCTACATCATGTCCCTGATGGCACTTCTTAATGCAGTTCACACATATGGCGTTTCGATCTGTGGTGTTACAAGTGTGACATCTAAAAAACAAAAGCTTATGTTACTTTCCTCTATCATCTTATTCAGAATACTTCAATCTGTTATATATTAACCCTATGACCTTTGGCTTTTAAGAGGACCAAAATTTTTGTGGTTCTAGTCTGGTTCTGAAAAGGGACTTCAATGGAATTTAACAATTTCCTATTTTGTGTCTCCCAAGGAAAACAAGTAGCTACCTTTATTTAATCAATACAGTGGAGAGGGGAATTAAAACCACTCTTGGTAGCTAGGATACAAGGAACGCTTAATGACAGTCTAGGAAAACAATATAAATGTTTTGCATTTTCAGTGGTATCTACACTTACTACAGTACTACATTTTCCCACATTTTATGGTCTCAAACACAGGATCCTCCAAGACGATCACAGAACTTAATGTGGACAGCTGATAATTTTCAGTTACATTCTATTAGCAAGTACCCAGTTTACTTTCTTTTAGCTCATACACTTAAGGGAAAGCTAAAAATGTTGAGTTCTTGTCAGTTTAGGAAAGAAAACCTTAGTACCTCTCCTTTTTTAAGATAACTGAGAAATATACCTGTAGAAATCATGCATGGGATAGCTGGTATAACTTGATATTTTATATAAACATTGGCCTCTACTAACAGCCTTTTCTATGGCGTCTTGATTGTTCATTATTTTGTTATCTGTAATGAAAAAGAATAATATTCTATAGTATAAAGACTTAAGATAGAGTTTTTAAAAGCTTTAAAAGAGGCTCATCAATGAAGTAAAAAAAAAAAAAAAGTTTTCCTTGTACAAGGTACTCCCAACTATTTAGAATAAGTTGAAACAAAACTCTTTCAAAATACATCTCTTGAGTTGCTGGTTAACTACTGTACAGTGACAGAAGAATTATTGAATAGCAGTGGCTTCTGATTATCTTCTCATGGCATATTTAGTGCACTTATATAGGCAGAATACAAGATTCCAACGTACCTTTCATTGTCACATTAACACCAGATGCTAAAAATAAGCCTCCAAATCGGTTGTTAAAAATTTGATTGCCTTCTAGTGTTGCAGTTGCATGATTTGTAATTTCAATACCTGAAGCAAAATTTACAAACAGCAGATGCATCACTTTATATAGTTTCTTAAAATAAACCTGAAATATAGCAAATGTAGTAAACTAGTTCTTTTATATAAAAAGTATGTTAAATGTAGTAAACTGTATATTAATTCCTAACATCTAAAGAAAAAAATGGAAGCTTATTTGAATCACTTAGTTCTCTATCCCTGCTAAAGGCTGATTCATGTCAATGTATGGCAAAAACCACTACAATATTGTAAAGTAATTAGCCTCCAACTAATAAAAATAAATGAAAAAATAAGGAAGGAATAATACTTTATTGATAATGAAAGTATTTTAAAATTTCTCTCCAACTAAGACGACAGGGCCCAGAAATATGCATAGGCAGGAGCTAGATGTTTATTTGGAATTAAGAGAAATTGTCTTTACTGGCAAAGAGTTGACTATATGCATAATACTTGAATTTTACTTACCAGTGTCTTTAAAAAAACATTGTGAGGCCAGAGGGCTTGCATTTTTTTTTTCCATATATTTTTATTAGTTGGAGGCTAATTACTTTACATCATTACAGTAGTTTTTGTCATACATTGAAATGAATTAGCCATGGATTTACATGTATTCCCCATCCCGGTCCCCCCTCCCACCTCCCTCTCCACCCGATCCCTCTGGGTCTTCCCAGTGCACCAGGATCACCAGCCCAGGTTGGGTGCATGAGGGCTTGCATTTTATCTTAATTTATTCCTAACGGTAGCCAGTATTTACTCTATCCAATTAATGATTCTTAATTACTACTGAACTACAAGAACAATATTGTAAGTTTGGCTTAGAGTAGAAGAATCCAAAACTTGGATTGTGTGAGCTCAGTCACTAAGTCATGTCCAACTCTGCAACCCTGTGGACTGAATCCAAAACTTGGATTAGGTGCTCTTAAAAGCAATTGCAAACAAGCATTTGGCCGAATTCTGCAGCACACTGCACACCTTCAGTTATTAAGAAGAGATGATATACCAAGAATCAGTTTAATGTACAGCAAACAAGCTACAGGTAACAAAAGAAAATACAAACCTGCAGCAAATCCATCAAATATTCTGTTTTTCCTCAAGACTGGATGACTATTAGTGCTGATTAGAACACCTGCTTGAGCATTCCTAAAAATATCATTTTCTTCAAGGAGACCTATAATGAAAAATTTCCCCAGGTTAAGGCTAATCCATATAGCAAATTTTACTGTCTTTTTGGTGGTATTTAGGTTTTCTTTTAGTTTCTTATTGACTGTAAAATTCATAGAACTAATTTTTCAACTGAAAAGAAAGTTTAGTAATTAACAAATATTTAAAGTAGAATTTAACCAAAAATTTTAAAATTAGCGGATAACCATTCTAACCCATAAACTGGAAGTCCCATGGTTGCAAGGACCATGTATAGCTTAACCACTGCATCCCCAGTGCCCAGGCACAAAGCATAAAGTTGTTTCTTACTCAACACTGCTGAATTAATTCCTTTGAAATATTTTTAGGATCTTTGCATTCTCCATGCTTTAGGTTCAAGCCCCAATTCTTTCTGGCCACTATCAGCATTCCTTGATCAGTTTCTTTACTTTGGTCTCTCTTCTGCTGTTGTTTCCCTAGTTTCCTACAACTCTTATCATATCCCTTTATCAGTATAAAAAACTTACCGAGTAAAGTTTAAAATTTAACTTGCTGTTTACAGTCTTTCAAAATATTCCCCCAACCTACGCCTCGTTTCACTATATTACCTACACTTAGAATATGCTATACATTTTTATCCCTACTGCCTTTGATTTATATTATTTCCTCTTTCTGTAGTGTCTTCCCATAGTCTTTCTTTTTAATGTCACTTCCTCTGGGAGGTTTTTGGTTTTCCTCTATCAAATTAGTTATTCTCTCTTCTGGGATGATAACAATGATTAAGAGTAGACTGAGGAATCAGACTTCATACCTTCAAACACTGACTTAACCACTTAACCACATCCAAACTCTGGGCAAATTACTTTTCTTTATCTCAATTTCCTTATCAGTAAAATAAGCATAATAGCACCTACCACAATAGGGTTATTATGAGGATTAGCTAATACATGTACAAGTACACAGTACTAAATAAGTATTAACATTACTGCTATAAAACCTACTTATGTACAGTGAATCATATTTAGTTATGTACTAGTGTTTCTCTGCTCCCTGAAGACATGAAATGCTTTTATTTCTGTACACATCTGACCTATCTGTAATTGTTAAGTATTAACCTGTAAATTCCTTTCCCCCTAGAAAAGGCTATTCCAAGTGCATGAGTGCCTGCGTGCTAAGTCACTTCAGTTGTGTCCGACTCTATGATCCCATGGACTGTAGCCCTGTCCATGGGATTCTCCAGGCAAGAATACTGGAGTGGGTTGCCATGCCCTCCCCTCCAGGGGATCTTCTTGACTCCGGGATCAAACACACGTCTCCTACAACTCTTGCACTGTAGGTGGCTTCTTTATACCACTGAGCCACAGAAGAGGCCTGATTATTCCAAGACCCTACTGCTAATCTTGTAGATGGCCACTATAGGCTCCTCAAGTACTATTGCTAAGGTCTAGTCCAAACTACTACATACATACAAATCCTTTTCATTACACTGCATGTATAAAAACAAAGCCTTTAATGATTTGGGCCCTGCCCCCTTTCCACCCTCAACTTTCAGAGTCTCTTGCCTTACTAAACCACTGTTTCCTCTTAGACTGTTGCTTACAATGTGCCACTCCATTAGACTACAAACTTTCTGGATGTAGTACTGTTTTACATTCACCATTTTATCTTCAGTATCTGTATCACAGTGTTAGGCACAGATATGTTCAATTAGCAAGTATATACTAGAATAAATGAAAGAGTGAAATAACTATACTTTCTATACCAGAATGGCCTTCAAACCCCTAACCCCTCATCTTACCAGTAAATACTCATTTTTTTAAGACTAAGCTCAAGAGTGATTTTACTCCAGAACCTTTTCCAACACCTTACAAATAAAACCAACAATTCTGTACTGTGTTTCCTCATTGTATCTTATAAAGAATCCTATCAGAGGATTATGTCATTTACTGAACTACTAGATTATAAGCTTCTTGAGAGTCTATGTCATTATTGGAATCATGCTGCTTGGTGGTAGCAGTAAATTGTTGTCTTGTTATGTTAGAGTATTACTAGCTAACCTTCTATACAAGGTATATATAATGTTGGGTTATCGATATTTCAGGAATGGTGATAATTTGCATTCAATAGTCTCTATGAACAAAATGAACTGGCAAGAGGCAGGGACTGTGAGCCTCAATGCAAAGTTGATTTGACCTTTATGGATACCAAACTAAGCACATCTTGGCTTCATTAATTAAATTCTCCAACAAAGATGGTTGTGAACAGGTACAAATAAGCAATACTTACTGACTACAGACATTTTTATATATTTAAGACCAATTAATTCTTCAAACCTAGTTCTATAACTTGACTATAAAGTTTATTATAATCATATCACTATTCTGGATAGTAAAAGGTCCAGAGGGAGGGTGTAAACAAACTCTGCCACCTTTAGAAGCCGTACTAACAAGCGGCACACTCAAGGCAGCTGTTAACAGAAGAAAAATTCTGCGAACATGTCTCCTTTAACTCTAAGCACTAACCTCCTAAGCCATCTCAAGATTTAATAAGGAAAGACCGTGATTCCCTCACAGTGACATTAATTGGCAGTGTCATTGATCATTACAGATATGGAAGAATAATGGAAAACTGGGTTTTTAACTAATGCAAAGTTAACAACAATACCTCGACCCCCATTAAATATACAGATGCCACCATCTCTTCCATCATGGATTTTATTTCTTCTTAGTGTAGGATTACTGTCTGTCTTAATCCAGACTCCAGCCATTGCATTGTCAAATATTTCATTGTCTTCTATACAGCCTAGACCTATAAGTGGAAAAATTTAGGTTATGTTATTTAGAAAGTATATTTCTAAAGACAGTATCACTGGAAAAAAAAAAAAGGTAAAAGATTAAACATACCAGAATTATAAACTAGAATTCCACCATTCTGTCCTCCCCAGATTTTGTTGCGCCTAATTTTGGGGTTGCTTCCAGTCCTATGGATAGAATAGAAAGTAATGCCATCTCATTGCTTTTGCTCCCACATCCCATGTTAACAGTAAGAAAACCCATAATAATCACTGTAAGAATTAATGACATAATTAAACATCACCTTCAAGACACTTTGAGAAGTCTGTCAGTGAGGAAACGGGCTTAATTGTGTGTAATTCTATTTTCCCACAGAACAGACTTAGCTATAGATTATTACCATAGAGTCTGCTGATATGTAAACTAAACTGAGGAGGTTAGATTAAGTAACATTTATTATTACATGCTCCCCTCATATGTAAAATAAAATTTGATCAGGACTACTGCAATTCCAAAAACTGGTAAAATACAAGAAAGAAGGACTTAAAACCTATTAATTTTGCAGAATGGGCATAAAATAGAAGCTCCCATTTAATAAGAGCCTACGACATGTAGGTACCTTACAGGTATTACATAGCTCTCCCCTCTCCAAGTATGACAGAGGACACCGTCAGCTGGTAAGGACTGTCATGCCGGATGACACAACAGTGGACACGAGCTCTCATGGCATAGTGCCGTTCAGCCAAAACTTAAAGGCTCACATTTTAAGCCAAGAGTATGATAGAATATGAACACATATACAAAAGGAGAAATAAAGATTGAGCCTTTAATAACTATGTAATTTCTTCTATTTATCCTACACACTCACAATTCCCTCCCCGAAGAAAGCCAAATGTGAAAACATTTACCTTATCTGAACCCCTGAATACATATGATTATAAATATCATTGTCCTCTAGTACTCCATGTCCATTGTCATAAAAATAAACACCAACCTAAAATTAATAAAAGTTGTTTTCAAATTAAAAAATGTGTTTATAAAACAATAATTTCCCATACTAAGTCAAATATAACCTCACCTGCTTGCCACTGTGTATCCTGTTTCTTCTCAGTACTGGAGTGCTGCCAGTTGTCACCCAGACTCCGGCCAGAGTATTACTATAAACTTCATTCTCTTCTATTACGCCTTGTCCTTTCTCATGCTAAATAAAAGTTATTGACTATAATATGTATCTTGTATAAGCCAAATAATTTGCAGTATAGTCTACCTTTTGAGAAAAATTATGACCAAAAAAAAAAAAAAAAGCCAACTGGTAGGTAACATTCTCTTACCTAGTCTTTACCTGAGTTTAAGCTCAAAGGTTTTATGCTGTCCTTTGTGTATTTTAAAATCTATTACGGTAAGAATAGTAGCATTGGATTTTCTTATTTCATTCTAAGATACAAAACAAACTATAGTTCTCTCACTTAGGAAGTTAATAATCATTTCAACCTATTAATGGTTCAAAACAAGGTTCAAGTTACTAAAATTTTTTAGTAGAAGATTTAAGACATGAACATTTCTAGAACTATGAATAAAAATTTGACTCACACCTGGTATCACGCAAGGACCTTTCTGAAATTCTCTACATTTTCTTACTTGAATAACAGTGTCAGATACTATGATGACAGAAGACACAGGACTAATACACTAATACATAGGTTTTTAAATTTTGTAAGATGTTTAATTATGTTTCAACATCATGTCAAATGTCTGGCTTTTTCAGAAGATAAAAATATTCAAGTCTAGTATTAGTAATACTCAGTGACATTATGATTTTAATTAATACTTCTGGAAAATCTCAAGAGACTCATACAGTAATCACACTGGCCAAATTCTAGAGTAACAAATATAACTCAGACTGCCAACCATTTGTTGTTAGGCGTTCAGCCCATACTGCCATTATAATTAGATATTTCAATAAAAAGGTATATCTCCTATGCTTAAATTTAGTCAGTTGACAAAATTATACTGAGCGCTACACACGAAAAATTAAGTCATTCATACACTGTGAGAGAGAAAAAGCTGAATATGGCCTATTTAAAGGTAGACATAATTTTGTACTCTTCTTTCTACCCCGACTTTGATTCATGAAGTTCTAGAACTGTATTTAATAAACTTACCACATAAATTCCACCATGCTGGCCATCATGAATTTTGTTATGTCGAACAATTGGACAACTGTTTGTCCTAATCTGAATTCCTGCTAACGCATTGCCTATTTAAAAATAAAAGTTACAGTATCAACATATGGAGCCTAATGGAACGTAGTAGAGCGCAATTCTGTGAAATATGTCATATTCAGAAAGATACTTATGATCCATGAACATTTCAAGACAAAACTAAGGGAACTAGGAGTGTAAGAAGATGCAGAAGGACTGCAGGCAATCTAAGTATAGTGGTTAAGACCAGAGATGCTGGAGCCAGGCTGTTAAGTTCTGACTCCCAGGAAATTGATTTATGTCCTGTGTGACTTTGAGTAGTTGCTTAAACCTCTTTGTATCTTTGTTTCCTGACCAGTAAGTGGGGGATATTTAACAGTGCCTACTTCACAGGGTGGATGTAAATATTGTATGACTTAATTCAAGTAAGGTACTCAAAAAAGTAGCTAGCAATGAGTAAAATTATGTGTGTTATCCAGTAAGTATTAGCAAAAGAGGACACCCAGGAACATATCAGTGTCTAGCACAGAGATACCTAATAATTGTTTGCTGAATTAATACCTCAAAAGTTTTAATAAGTAAGTATTTTCCCTTTCTAATTAGTACCGAAGTGTATTAAACTACCACAGAAATTGCTAAACAATGGAGTGAATCTAAGGGAACTGCAGAAACTCTGTGAGAATAGGGTCTTAGTTTTATTTTCATTTCTAGTATGTAGAATAGTGCCTAATACATAGTAGATACTCAGTAAATGTTTGTTAAGTAAATAAATGTCACAGAATAATCTTTATTGAGGATTTAAAGAACCCAGATCAGTTCTCCTGTTCAGAAGGTTTCAAAATGGTCCATTTACTAATGACAGGAACACAGGCCAGGCTCTAAAATTTTACAGAACAAAATACATTTACCATAAATGTCATTTCCTTCGATAAGGCCTCGTCCATCACCGAAGATGTAAACTCCACCTTGATTTCCATTAAATATAGAATTCCCCCTATAATCATATGAGGAAAGAACACAAAAAAGAATCTATTCAGAAAGACTTGCTTGTTTTATTAAAAGCCCAGCCATGTTCATGCGACCTTAGGAAATTATTTAACTTCTATGAGTTTTAGCTTTCTAAATAGAAATGAGGAACTAGATGATTTCCCTTCAATTCTAAGACTTAGAGCTTTGGAAAAGCCATCCAGTATTTGAGATGAATTAGCATTCTTTTTTTTTTTTTTTTTGAGCTTTCTGAAAGATCTTCAATAAGGTACTTGGGAACTCAATTTATTAAGAAAAAAAAAACCAGGTTGGTTTAACTATAACAGATGTTTCAGTGCAGCTCCAAAAGTCTTTATAAATACAGTCATTTGGAAAGGTGGTCCTGGTCCTGGATCAGATTACTCCTTGTGTTTCTGAGAACAGTAAGAAGGGGGAGAATTGTGATGTTGGGAATATGCTGCTGTTGCTGCTAAGTCACTTCAGTCGTGTCCGACTCTGTGCAACCCCATGGACTGCAGCCTACCAGGTTCCTCCATCCATGGGATTTTCCAGGCAAGAGTACTGGAGTGGGTTGCCATTGTCTTCTCCATGAATTAGCATTCTTAAAAATTCCCCTCAAAAGCACTAATTCAGGAAACTCCCAGACAGCCCAGTGGTTAGGACACTGCACTTCCACTTCAGAGGGCCCAGGTCTGATCTCTGGTCAGAGAACTAGGATCCCACAAGATGCGAGGTCAAAGGAAACAAAAACAAAACTTACTAAAATTTACAAAAATTAAAAAAAAAAATGGAGCTAATCCATTTAAAAGAACTTTTCTTAGCCCATATATAAGCATTTGTTGAATAGTAATTAAGATGGAAATCACATAATCAACTTTCATAAAGCCAGTGGAAAACAATTTTACAGAAATAATTCATGGTCATTGATTTCATTATAACAGCTCTGTCTTACAGTCTTAGCCAGTGACTATAAGACTGGTTCTGTGGATTCCCCTGGTGGTCCAGTGGTTAAAAATCCACTTCCCAATGCAGGGGACAATGGAAGATTCCACAAGCAGTGGGGCAACTAAGCCCATGTGCCACAACTACTAAGCCCATGCTCTAGAGCTTCTGCTCTGAAACAAGAGGAGCCACTGCAATGAGAAGCCCACACACTGCAACTAGAGAGTAGATTCCACACTCTGCCACCAGAGAAAAATCCACGTACACCAACGTCCAGCACAGCCAAAAATAAATAATAATAAAAAAGACTGGATGTTTGTTTTCTTGCTGTGGCCAGAGGGAGTGTCAGGAACTGACAGCTTAAAGTTTTGACTCTTGTTATTCTTGGTCTCTTTGTCCAAATATCTTAAGAGATAATTAATAACCTAACTATCCGATCTCAGAAAAAAAAAAGGACAAGACAGATCATTCAGATTCCAAGAGAAGATCAGAGCCCTATTTACTCATCTAGAATACAGTTTGATGAATTTAAAATGAAAATCACAGCATTTGCAGTTTTTCATAAAAAATAGGTTATGTGGATTAGATCACTAATAAAAAATAGAACACCATAAAATAAATGCAATAGCTATGTTCATTCAGATGCCCAGACTTTTATTAGGTAAATCTATTTTATAGTAATCAGGTGTCTAGGAAAAATAGTTAAAGCTAACTATCTTAACTCTTCTTATAACACAAAACATAAAGTGAAAATATAATTGTCTTCCATAATTATATATAAATACCTTATTGTTGGGTCACTATTTGAGGTAATCCATACACCTGCAAAGTTGTTTGCATAGATTTTATTCTCTATGAATTGTCCTCTTCCTTTTTCGTGAACATATATTCCCCCAGTCTGCCCATGATGAATTTCACATCGAACCACTGTGGGGTTAGCGTAAGCTTTTACTTCAAAGCCTGCTATCCGGTTTCTGTGTATGTTGCAGCTTTCAAAGTAACCCTGGAAAATACAGAAATTAAGCCTGAAGGTAAGGCTACTTTTCAAACAGAAATGACATTAAAAACCCTTTTAAATGTATACCTCCAAATTAAGTATTAGAAATGTTCAAGAGTTAAGAATGAGACAGAGACAGATATATAAACATTTAAATGTTTTAATTTAAGCATTTCAATTTAATTTGAATTAATTAAATCCTTTAATTAATGTGAGTATATTCAAAGCCAGGAAAGAAAAATAGGGAAAGACTTATTCAATAAACACAAATAAATACTATCACCAAGAATATATATTCTTCAACAAAAGGTTTATTTAAGTATTAGAGAAAATACACTATCATAACCTTAAAAATGTCTCAAAAAATCAACTGTTAAAAAGTTGACCAAAGGACATAATCAGAGACTACAGCAAAAGACAAAATAATGTTCATCTTAGCACAGTAATAGAGAACTGACTCAAAATGTTGTGAAGACCTAGGCTCATGTTATACATGCTATCATGTTTAGTGAAAAGAACAGTATACACGATACTTTAAGATAATATACATTCAATATGATGTCAATTTTATTTGGAAAAAAAAAACCACCTGAAGGATAAAACAAGAATATGAGTGTGTCATTAAATGAGTAGTGGTATTATGCATACTTACTGTATTCTTTATGCTTCTCTACATTTCTTAAGCTTTCTACAATGGATATATTTTACTTATTTTCTAAAGATAATAAACGTTACTGTAATACTGATATCTTAAATTCTAAGACCCAGTCAGACTAAATGTTAGAGGAAAAAATGAGACAGTAAAATGACAGCACTCCTGGAAGCCACTTCATACTCCTTGTCTACCTCCCTTCAAAAATTCCATATGTTCCCCTCTAATTAAATTCCCTTTAGCACTAAGTATTTTCTTATGCTACTTCCATGCACTATCTTGTGCTTAATTGTTATATCCATTTTTACCTGATTATAAGCTCTTGAAGAGAAAGGGTGCCTCTTTTACTAACTTCTGGAGCATCTATTTAAGATTTTACACATGGTAAGCACTCAAACGTGACTTGATAAACTTTTTGCCAAATCTAGTAGAGGTTCAAACAGGATGTAATTCTGAGCATTCTAATATACTACATATTCAACTCTTAAGGAAATGTCTCTCTCAGGAGAACATTTAGAAGTAATTTTCAGGTTTCATTTCCCACAAATAAAGTACAAATCACTTATAACTTACCTGTTAACATACAGGTTAAAAACTTACTCTTTTAAAAAAAAATTGGGGGACTGCATCAAAAAATAGCTCCTTAATATATGAAAAAATTTTTTCTTCTTTGATTTATACCAACTAAAAATGGATCGACACCAGGTGTATACAGACTATTATGGCAAAACTGAGCATCAAAGTAACAAAAATTGTAAAAGAGATTAAACTGAAAGAGATTAATGTCAGATTGGAACAATTCAACATTTTGATGTTTTCATCATTGAGAAGGAAGCTCAACTTGTCTCTCTCTCTCTGTCACGAGTTGAATGATATACCCTGAATGGTAAACTTGGGAAAGAATAAACTGAGTATGCTCAATTCAGCTTCACCCTTTTTCTCACAGAAGTGAGCTGCCCTTAGGGGAGTATACTTTCTTTACTATTCCAGGAACATTGACTGTGACTAAGCAGGTAAGTCCATTTTATTCTGGGGTTCAGTTAAACAGACCTATTTAGTTCTCATTCTAAGTTGTATCCTCCAATTTAACCTTTAAGAGAAATGAAGTTGATATTTCAACCTCCTTATGCTACTTCATAGCTTTGATTTCTTAATTTGCTCAGAATGCGGCAAGAAAAGGTATGCTATTTACTGGGCTTCTATGAAGATCCCAGTAACAGGCCACTGTCATGTTCGGGCTGTGCTAGTACAACCTGTAGTACTGCAAGTATACTTTGCTACAATACATCTACTAGAAAATTTTCAAATGCACAGTTGCTTTTTTGGCGACACCATACATGTTACTGGATCTTAGGTCCCTGACCAAGGACTGAACCCAAGTCATCAGCTGTGAAAGTGCAGAGTTCTATCCACTAGCCCACCAGGGAATTACTTCTTTTTTTTAGGTTTTGATTTTGCACACTTAGGAGAGTCAACTAGGACCCACAAGTTTACTAAGGCAAACAGCAGTCCCTTTCTTCATTCTCCCTTGTCCAGAGGTCCCCATTTTCAATTCTTTTGACCTATTTTCATATTTTTAAGTGAAAATTTGTACTGCCTTATCTTGAGTTTGAAGTTTTAGTATTACGTTTTTAGTATTACGATCTCCTATCAAGAAAGATGAGATTTTTGCTCTCCTACAATTATCTTGTTCTCTTTTGCATACATGTCCAGGTAATTCTAACCTAAACTTGCTACTAGTTGTTTAAATCACTTTTTTTTTTTTTGGTGGCTGCAAGGCACAGCTTACAGGGACTCCCTGTCGGGAGACCAGGGATAGAATCCATGCACTTGTCAGTGAAAGCCTGGAATACAAACCAGTTGACTGCCAGGGAATTTCTAATCACTTCTTTTTTTTAATTTTTGGCTGTGCCTGGGTCTTTGTTGAGGTGTGGGCTTTCTCAGGTTGCGGTGAGCAGGGGCTACTCTCTACTGCAGCATGCGGGCTTTCTTATTGCAGTGCCTTTTCCCATGACAGAGCACAGGTTCTACAGCCTGTGGGCTTCTGTGGTTGCAGCTCGCAGGCTCTGGAGTGTGAGCTCAGTAGTTGTGGCACATGGGCTTAGCTGCCCCAAGGCATGTGGGATCCTCCTCCTGGATTAGGGATGGAACCGGTGTCCCCTACATTGGCAGGTGGATTCCTAACTACTGGACCACCAGGGAGGCCCCCCCAATCACTTCTTAATGTATCTGTATTCACATTAGGTTCTTCCTGAATATAAGCAATTTTTAGAACCTGCTCTAATCTGAACTGGTTACCATGATCATAGGCAGATGGTTATTTTATCATACTGTAATTTAGAGGTTAAAAATGTCCCCTAGTTCTATCAAAGATGGGAGTTGTAATCTGTATCTTTTAAGATAACTTTCAAGAAAAAAAAGCAGCAAAAAGTTTTTGAAAAGAAAAATCTTTTTCCTTTATGTTCTCAGAACCTCCTCCATTGCTACAACTGTGATTTTATTACAGTCAGAAAGGGCAACACTTGATTGACATATAGTTTTATAATACCAGAGAAAACCAATCTATTGTTATGAGTTGAAGGATTCAGTTAGTGCAATTTTGCTTTAAAATACATTTTAATGAAATGCATCTATTTTGTTAAGAAATGCCTTTAGTGCAAAATGGTGTAATGGACTGTAAGTAGAAAACATAATTCTACTTTGCCTTTTAAGATGCAAACCATGAAAGCTCTAATATAAATACAAAACTCCAAGGGCAAGGACATTTTACCAGACTACTCCTTATCATAAAATGATTTATTTCCCTACCAGAAGATACCAGATTGCTAACAGCTTCTTCTAATATTTTAAAACAAAAGCTTGTTAACTTTTCAGCACAAGCATTCCTAAATCTCTAATATATAAGTTCTTAAAAATGATCATTCTACCAATCTAAAAAAATTAACACTGATATCAAAATAAAAGGAGTAAATATTTTTTCACTAAAAATTTTTTAATTGAAATAGTCTTTATTAAAGATGACAGAATGAAAGGCATTAAAGAGTTTCTCTTAAACTCTTCTGATAAAAAAGGAATGAATAAAGAGAGAAAAATATGTTATCTTCATTGAAATAAATGTCTACAATCCCAAACTATATCAAACACCCGCCTAATACTGTGATATATGAATAAGGAAGACTAAGGTGAGAGCTAGCAGATGTTACTATACACCTTTAGCAAGGTATGTTTCCCCAAGTAACTGTTCTAATAAGCAAGCATAACCAATGATAAGTAGTGACATCTAGTGTCATGAACAGAACACAGGAGAGGAAGGAAATAATCCTACAGTAATATTTTCATAGAAGTAATTTAGGCACAAGAAAATTTGAAGAAACACTAATATACAACTTCTATTATCCAAAACTTGCATTTCTTATCTAAAGAGGACTATCCAAAGTAAAAAGGAGGAGAGGAAAACCATACCTCAACATAGTTTTTGTCTACTGTTAATCTATCATGAGCTAAATTCATAAACTCAGAATACATATCTTGAAAATTTTATAGCAATTTGCTACTGCTATATTTTAATTTTACTTTATGAAAATAACACTCTGCAACAGACTGAATATTAAAAACAAATACCACAAAGAATTGGGTAACTGTAGATGTTGACAGAAAAATTATTTTTAGGAGTGAGAATGGCACTGTGGTTATGTAAAAGAAAAAGAAGGAATCCTACCTTTAAAAGAAAGATACATGCTGAAATGTTTACAGATGAGATGATGATATCTGAGATTTGCTTCAAAATAATTTGGAATAAAGAAGAGAATAAGCAATGTATGAGGAAGTACAGATGAAATAAAACTGACCATGAACTGAAAGTTTGAATGTGGAGGGTGGAGTCATGGGAAATTCATTACAATACTATCTCCAGTATTATATATGCAAGAAGGATTCCATAAAACAAAGCACATTAAAAAAATCAGAGATAAAAACCATACTGGAAACACAATAGAAAAAGAGATAAAGATATGTAGACAGAGTAAAAGACACAGATTTGAGGAAATTACACAGAATCCCAGGTGGTGCTGGTGGTAAAGAACCGGCCTGCTAAAGCAGGAGACGTACAGATGTGGGTTTGATCCCTGGGTCGGGAAGGTCCCCTGGAGGAGGGCACTGCAATCTACTCCAGTATTCTTGCCTGGGGAATCCCATGGACAGAGGAGCCTGGTAGCTACAGTCCATGGGACTGCCAAGAGTCACACATGACTGAAGCAACTTACCACAGCATAGCACAAAGGAAAAGAAGGAAGCAATACAGAACAACATAAGTAACAGAGAAGATAACCAAGTTTCTAAAGAAAGGAACATATGAAACAGAAAAGTGGTAAAAAAAAAAAAAACAAAAAAACTATTAACATACAACAAAAACATCACATGGATAACTGAAGTAGAAAAGCAAATCTCCATCAGAAAGGAAAAAACAAAAAACCCAGAATTATCTGAGATTTCTCAGTCACACTCAATTCTAGAAATATAAAATCAACTACACAATTCTGAGCAAAAGAAAATAAAAACTATAAACTCAGCAAAACTAAAAGGTTAACGGGTAGACATTCTCAAGTGGGAAGAATTCAAGCTATAAGCCTTCCTTTTAAAAATAAACAGAATCAAAATGGCTAGATGACAGAATAGCCATATCAAGAATGAATCAAAATAAAATCAGGAATGGAAAAACTATGATAAAAGGACTGAAGGTTAATAAATAACTGTAGGAATATAAATGTTGTAAAGCTCTAAAGAAAAATAAGGATACAAATGATGGAGTACAGAGGTCTGAAATATAAAGTACCTTTTATAATTTTTCAAAAGTTTAAACATGCAGTTCATTATGACAAACTCTAGAACCATAACCTTTGAAATTCTAGGGATGTCTTTTATACAGGGCATGTAATATTTTAAAACATTAGTTTAATATTAAAAAAATAGCAGAAATTCTTTCACCATTCATTCTTGCCAATATAGGAGTTTAAATTTTAAGCTGGTCATAGACAAGGAAGAGGAAAGACAATTTCAGAGAACAGTACAGAAACTAATTTAAATATTTACTCTGATGTTCTCTGAAGTTCTATGAAAAAAGTCAAATTTTAAAAAGGTTAACCTTAGTGATATCCTACCAATCATGGAAACCAACACAAAAAACACCTTAATAATAAAGAACATTCTACCAAAGGATTTTAAAGGATTGTATCACAATACTAAAACAGATGAGAGAGGCCCAAGACATGCTTTATTACCATCTTTTCCTTATAAGTCTATATAATTTATATATTTCCATTAAGGATTGATGAGATTTCTATCTGTAGGATTGCCTAAGATTTGTTTTTTAAAAATTTATAAACCTGAATCTATAAAATGTAAACTGTACTGGGACTGTGTAGAGTATATTATTATAATGAATTTTAATAAGTGACCATCAGTATTAGGTATTTTAAAAATGAGGAAATTTACTCAGGTTAAAGTTATTCTGGTACCTCAAATCATCTATGAACGAGACCAGGGGCATGCATAAATATGATACTTGAAACTGTGTATGTAACTCTGGGGCAAAGTCTAAAGGCAACACAGGCAAAGAAATACTAGCATAGTATAGTTTCATTACAAAAATATGAGTTCCATTTAGAATTCCATTTAAGAATTATTGCTAGGGCTTCCCTTATGGTCTGCGCGGTTAAGACACTCTCCCAATGCAGGGGGCAGGGATTTGATCTCTGGTTGGGGAACTAAGATTCTGCACACCGCAGGTAAGGTACAGTTAGAAAAAAAAAGAAAAAATTAGGGAAAAAAAAAATATTACCAACACAGGCCTCTAAGAGGGGGTAGATTCTTAAGACTCTTTTAAAAAGCAGAAAGCATTTATTAATAGATAAGCACTTTATATGTATTCTATTATTTAATCATCAAAGGTCTTTCATGATAGGCATTATCATCCTCTTATATAACTTTGTAGTCAGTGCTTGCAGAGTGGCTGGCATGTAATGGTAGCTGCACTGACTCAATAATTCTGCACAACAAAAGCCCCAAAGCTCAGCTTATACCAAAAAAAGGATTTTGTTCTCAGACATCTAGGGGTAAACCAGTTGACCAGAAAGTTGGCTAGGTGATTCTCCTGAGTTTTGCTGGGGACCAGCTGGCCATAGGCTGATCTAGGCTGGCTTCTGTAATGTGAATCTGCTTCACATATCTTTCATCTTCCAATGGGCTACCCTGGGCATGTTCTCATGGTGAAGACAGAGGTACATACCCACTTCAAGCCTCTGGACTGCATCCTGTTTGCTAACATCCAATTGACCAAAGCCAAGTTGCGTGGCTGAGCCCAGGGCAAAGTGAGAGGACACTGCAAAATTATGTAGCAAAGAGTGTGCCCACAGGAAGGGGTGAAGAATTAGGACCACCATTGCCATCAACCACAAAACCCAATCCATGTGTGTTGTATAAATGAGCTAGTGCATGTCCAAGGCTCTGAGAAGTTAAGAGCTGAAGGTTACACAAAGCTATGCTTTGAAACCAGGCAGGATGAATTCTCTGAAGACTCTTATGTTTTGACAACCTCCATACTTTTGCTGAGACCCCCCCCCCCCAAATCTCCCCTCTTTCCTACTCCTTGGAAAAAAAGAGCTACAATTTGCAAAAAAATGTCAATTTTAAAATTCTAGCTGGAGAAGGACAAGTGGTCATCTCCACTGTGCTTTCTTATTTACAGGCCCAAACTATACAGCATGAGTTTTAAGTGAACTGTTTTTCTCAGGTTACAGTTATCACAGGAATATAATGAACTGGGGGGTCTATTAATAAAACTATTTACATCTAATCAGAATTTAATAAAAGGGTACTCCTTCCTGGTCTACTTCAGTTTTAACAGAGTTTAGTAGACTTCTCTGGAGGTCCAGTGGTTAAGACTCCATACTTCCACTGAGGGAGTACAGGGCTTGATACCTGGTAGGGGAACTAAGATGTCACATGCCACAAGTGGCGGGCAAAAAAAGGGTTCAACATGTGTTAGGGTTTTAGGCACAAACAGTTGAAAATAAACTTCCTCTGTTAACAGACAATTTTTATATGTCCCAATTAAATGTTCCAAAGTTGTTTAATACCACATAATTGCAATAAAACTTCATCATACCCTTGTTTGTTACCACATTACAACCTCCTCTCCCATCTCAGACTGCTTAACAAAAAATGTTGCCAATGCTGTCCTAGGATTTTAAAAAATTACTTCAACAAAAACTAGGTATTAGGAATCCCCTAGCAGTTCAGTGGTTAGGTTAGGACACCATGCTCTCACTGCTGAGGGCCCAGGTTCAGTCCCAGGTTGGAGAACTAAGCTCCTATAAGCCATGCAGCATGGCAAAAAACAAACAAAAAGCAACCTGCATTAAATTCTCTTATGGTGCTTACTAAAAATGCATATACTGGGTGCCATCCTGAAGAATTCTGATTTATTGTATCTGGGTGATTTTTATTCATACTTACATTCGAGAACTACTGGATTAGACCTTACTCTCTTCAAAGATCACATCAATTCTCTAAGGACTCCATCTTCTCTACATGTATAGAATGTTAGATTCAAGAATTTACAGAATTGATATTGCATACTCATTTTAATTTTTAGTCTTCTTTTAGACTTATACTCTTCAATTCAGCAATTTGGTGATGATAAAATGCTGACACCTCTTTGAAATTTAACTGATATGACATTAGTTGTTTTTTTTTTTTAATTAAGAATAAGTGTTCTTACCATGCCATGATCGAATGTGAACACACCAACGTCACGTCCATGATGAATATGATTCCGTCTAATAATTGGGTTTCCATGATTTTTAACCCAAATCCCAGCTAAAGCATTATTGGAAATTTCATTATCCTCATATATTCCCTAAAACAATTAACCAGAAATAAACATTAGTGTAGTTGGGAAAGAAAAACACGGAAAAGAAAAAACCCCACAAAATTAAAAAATACCTGTGCATGATCTGTTATATAAAGTCCAACATTTTCACAGTCACTGATGTTACAGTGCTTGATAGTGGGACATGCTCCTTGACCACTAACACATACTGCAGAGCCAACTGTAAGAAAAAACATTTATTTAAAATCCTACTGGGCAACACAATGACTGACCTATAATAAAACACAATGGGAACACTGACCTGTGCATGTGCTTCGGATGATACAGTGATCGATGATAGGGCTACAGTTCACTGTAATCTCTAGGCAGTGGTGCGCATTGTGGTGCTGAGCAGATTTGTCATCAGGGTTAAACTGAAAAGTAGAAATTTTGTTTGAAATAAATAACCACAGTCTTAAATGATTTCCATATATATACTTACAAATTTATAATTTCTTACCCTTATTGTCATGTATCCAACATAAGCATCTTCAGAACCTTCCATAAAAACAAAGGTTGAATCTCTAGTGTTTTCAATTATAACTTTGTCTGCTACTTTTCCAGGTGCTATGAAGAAAATATTTTAAAGCATATTACTTTCATCAGACAGATCAAAAAATTACTTTCTTAGTCAGTAAAAATACTCTGCCATAAAACTAATAATTCAATAGAACCCTTTCTACAGTTTTAAATTGGGCAGTTCTTTTAGAGAGGGAATTTTAAAGGAACATTAGAATTGAGTAGGCAGGACTAATACTCTTTCATCAGACAGATAACTTGTCATACTGAACACAGACATTATTTGAGCATCACCATAACTCAAATCCACGTATAATAATACTCTTAATAGAATCAGCTACAAATAGTATTCAATACCAAATGCAATGGCATATTAAAATGTGGGTTTCTTGTGGAAACCAAATCACTACCAGTAGCACCAGAAAACAACATTCAGAGAGAAGAAAGAAGGGGATGATGAACAGGGAGAGAAAGAAAGAAACTTCTTTATTTAAACTATATTCAGTACTGGTCTTGATTTGGAAAATAATGAAAATTAGTAGGCAAAATTTTTCTATATTCTCTCTCACTTTTCTTTGATGTGGAAATAGGGAGGGAAGAAGAAAGGGCAGTAAATGCAAATGTAATTACAACTTCTTGCTATTTTAAAATGGTCTTGTACTACTGTATCCTTAAAAAAATCAGAGAGCCCATAAATTTTCAAATAACTGGCCAGTGCTCAACAAACATTACATTTATATTTAGAAACGTGACCATAAAAACAACTTTGAAACAGCATGGAAAGTATTTTAAAAGCACATTTGTTTCATTAAAAACACAGCAATAAAAACATTAGCCTCTGTATTTTCAAATAAAACTAACAAATATTTTTCTCTCCTTAATAACTAAAGCAGTTGGACAAACTATTGGCATCAAGAATTATACACATCCACCCCCCCCCACCAAGAGAAACAGATACATTTATAATTTCTGAACTCTAAATTTTTCATTTCCATCATATAAAATATACATTTCTAATTTTTCCTACAATTAAGGTTTTATTAAGGTTCATCTGTATTTTAAGTAATCAGCATTTGTAAGTAACCAGCATTTTTAAAAAACCCATCACATAAAGTATTAAAATTCTAATGACAACACATTTTGAAATACCTGCACCAATCATGGTGATTGGAGATTCAATATATATCCATTCATCAGTATATATTCCAGAATGAACAAAGATAAGTCCATCAAAATGAGCTTCTTGTACCCCACCAAGGGCATCTTCAATTGTATCGTAGTACTAAAACAAACAACCCCCCGCAAAAACATGTCAGTATAGAACTGTAAGATCATCATTTTAAATCTTAGAAAAAGACAAATCAAACATACCAACATGTTTTCTCTTCCTTTGTATCTTGCAGGGTTACTGTAGAAATGTTCAGCAAATCCTGGCTTCACATGTGCACCTTTATACTAAGACATCAAAAATACAAAAACAAAAAACTGACTACTAGTATAAACACTATAAATTAGTTTAGTACTACATGAATTTTTTAAAATTAATTTTCAAAAACAAGTATTAGTTAGTCCAAAGTTAGTCCAACTAATGTTCTGATGCATACTGCAATGTAAAACCTGGAACAGTTTATAACTCAGTAATACCCAGTAAGTAAGAACATGGTTTTTCAACCTCAGCACTACTGATAGTTTGTAACAGATTCTTTGTTGTAGGGGCTTATTCTGTGCATTGTAGGATGTTTAGTAGCATCTCTGGACTCTAACCATCAGGTATCAGAAGCAGTCTCTTCTCCAGTTGTGAAAACCAAAAATGTCTCCAGACACTGCCAAATACCCCTGTGGAACAGAATCACCCCTAGCTGGGTAGTTAACTATTCATAAAGGACCATATGAAAATAAAGCTAAATGTGACCACTGGACTACCAAGGGAATTCTGTGACACTCTAAATTAACTACCCAACAGTAATAATTTAAATATAGTTGAAACAGATCCATAGAAAATATAACTGCTCTCAGGTTATTGATACTTACTGCTACTGTTTAAATTATAATAAATATGCCAATAGTGAAAAGAACTGATGACTCCTTTGTTGGCTGGTAAACGTGTACTGACGAGAAACCTAGTTCTTTTTTTTTTTTGGCCATGCTGCGTGGCTTCTGGGACCTTAATTTCCTGACCAGGAATTGAACCCCAGACCTCAGTAGTGAAAATGTGAAAACCTAAACACTGGACCACTAGGAAATTCCCATGAAACCTATACTTGAGTTTAAATTTTGAAAAAGGAACTATTATAAAACTGTATTTATAAATATATAAATATAATAAAACATTATATATTTAAAAACTTTTCTTTAAAATATATATAATATAAAGTCAGTATTTTCCACTTATACTTCATACCAACTGCTGGAAACTCTCTTTCCATGGATTTGGGTGTTCATATTCTTCTGGATTAATCTGGTAGAATTTGCCAGGTTCAGGGTGCATCATAGGGCGGGTATACTCGAATACTTCCATGTATAATCGTTTCCTGGAGGGGGAAAGGGGCTTAAGATTTCTTCATAAAATATTCTTTAAACAACTATAAAAATTATTTGAGGCCTCAAAAACTTGTAAGAATATGAAAGAGCAGAATTTTAAATGTAAAAATAAAATTTTTGGCTAAAATAATGTAACTGGATATAAAAAGTAAAGTAGTCCACCTAAAAGAATGCGTCAATTCTTTAAAATCTGACTGCTTAGTCAAAGGGAAATAAAAACCACCCTTACTATAAAAGTCACATACAGTTATAACTTAAAAGGATGATTTTAAATAATGATGTTTCACGTATGTCTGATCTCAAATCATCAAATCTTAGGAGTGGAGTGATAGTTAACTGTTATATAATTTCTATACAAAATAAATGTTTATTCTGCTCTTTTAACACCCCCCTTTTCCTTTCCAACACAAAGATAATTTTCTTTCTTAAATTTAAAGTGTACCTTATTTTTAGCATCATAGAAGTAATACATATAGCTGCTGTAAAAATACAGAAAAGTATGAAAGCGATAACCTACTTTTAATATATCAACTATTAACAATTTACTGTATTTCTTTCCAGTCTTTTTAGCTAGAGTTTCATTTATTACAATTGTGATAACATAAAATTTTTGTATTCTGCTTTCATTTTTTATAACATAGCATATTCCCATATTATTAAAAACTGTAAAGTTCACTGTTAATGACTATATCAAAATCCTCTAAGTAGACATAACACTGTTTACTTTTAGTCCAATCCCTTATTGCTAGACTTTGATTTCTAGTTTTCTCCCACTATTAACTATGCTATTATGAAAACATAACATAAGCAAATTTTCAGAAGTGGAATTCCTGTGTCAAAAGACACACATATTTCATGGTTCAAAAATACAACTGTCCAAACTTTTATCTAGAAGTGATATACAAAATCTACATTCTTACTGAACTGTTAGCTGTTTTAAATTAGACTTAGTTCTGTTTCTAAAAAGCAATGGAATGAAAAGTATTCTCCATAATCACTCAGTAGCTTTTAACTGACAAATAGCAGAAAATGTACTTCCTTTATTGTTTTAAATAAAGGAAGTACTCAGATGGTGGCTCAGATGGTAAAGCCTACAATGCAAACCCGGGAACTCAGAGACCCAGGTTCAATCCCTGGGTTGGGAAGATCTCCTGGAGAAGGAAATGGAAACCCACTCCCAATATTCTTGCTGTAAAAACCCATGGACGGAGGAGTCTGATAGGCTACAGTCCATGGAGTCACAAAGGGTCAGACACAACCGAACAACTTCACTTTGTTTCTTATTGTTTTAAAAACACTGCCTGGACTGATAATCAACATTTGTGATAAACAGGTAACTGGGAAAGGAGCAAAGGAAAGATATATCCATTTGAATGCAGAGTTCCAAAAAATAGCAAGGAGAGATAAGAAAGCCTTCCTTAGTGATCAGTGCAAAGAATACAGGAAAACAATAGAATGGGAAAGACTGGAGATCTGTTCATGAAAATTAAAAATACCAAAGGAACATTTCATGCAAAGATGGACACAATAAAGAACAGAAATGGTATGGACCTAACGGAAGCAGAAGATATTAAGAAGAGGTGACAAGCATACACAGAAGAACTATACAAAAAAGATCTTCAGGACCCAGATAACCATGATGGTGTGATCACTTACCAGAGCCAGACATCCTGGAATGCAAAGTCAAGTGGGTCTTAGGAAGCGTCACTACAAACAAAGCTAGTGGAGGTGATGGAATTCCAGTTGAGCTATTTCA